AAGGTAATAAAAGCTCCATGAGCGCACAGACACCACCCCCCTTCCTTTTTTCCACTTAGAACAATGCTGGTTTATCATGACCATCAACCAGCCTTTGTTAGGAAGTGAGTAAATGAATGCAGCTCGGGTGTCTCTCTTAACCCAGGATGTTTTTACAGATAGACATGATTGCTTAAGTGGCCCTTTCACATGCCTTCTTTAGAATAAAATATATATCTCCATTTATTTTTCCATGTTGTTTCATAGGTTTGGATAAATCTCTCCTATTACACTGATCTTTGAAATAGGAAAAATGTCTCACCTTTTTTATTTCAGTGCTATCATTATGCCAATCATCTAATACACACTCAAAACACATTGGAATTGAATGAATGAATGAATGAATGAATGAATGAAGGTTGAGCAACCTTAAGAAATATTGCAGATCTTCCTGTAATCATTAAAACAACAGTCCTTTGAATATAATGTACTAAATTATATAGATAACCCCATCAGATACTATGTATGGTCTTGCAATATATCTAACATCTAGTAAAGGCTTTGTTGGTTGAGTTTTAACTGTTAATAAAATAACTTGTCTTTCAACAGTTGAATTTTGTGTATTTTCAGAGATCATCTATAGCTGGGTATTTAATGAGTTCCCTTCCTTTGTGGCGGAAGACAGCCGGCGGTTCATTTCCCAGGAGACAGGCAACCTTTATATTTCTAAAGTCCAAACATCAGATGTTGGCAGCTATATTTGTCTGGTGAAAAACACAGTGACGAATGCCCGAGTACTTAGTCCTCCAACACCACTCACTCTACGTAATGATGGTAAGTTGCATGGCCCGTTTGAAATAGCCATTTCAAGTGTGAAAAATAAATATGAAATAGTGATTTTCTAAGCAGTTAAACCTAGCACAAATTAAATAAAAAGGCATTTGCCATATTTAGAAACTATATTTTTAGTCTGAGATTATGCATACCTTAGAGAAAAGGTTTTGACATAGGAAAGTAATGATCTATGACTGAGAAATATTAACCATAATCCCCCCCAATGCCAAAAAGGGAGAGAGAATGTGAAAAAAAATGAACTGTAATAAAGACTCCACAGTTCTTTCCTTTGCTCTTTAGTGCCTCTATATAGCACATGTGCATGAATTGCAAGCATTTTATAGGTTCGTTTTTCACTACATTTTTATTTTAGCTACCTTCAAATTGAATGTTCAGCTTTTAATACTTCATGGTATAATTATAATTGTTATTATTACTTTTCCAATAATAGGAGCAGTTGGAACTTTAACTTTTAAGTTCAATTCAGGCAGAAATGATGATTCTATCACTCTAGATATTGCCATCTATCTAAAGTAT